CAGCCTAAAAGAGTTCTGCCGGGATAAAAATTGACTCTGGGTGTTAGAAAGGCATGCTCTAGATTGCACTCACTCAGGAATAATTAGAGAAAGATATGGAACGATCTTAAAATCACTCATCAAACTTCACACAGACCCATCAACACAAGGTGAAAGCCCACTGACACAAGGCACTTAAATACAACCTTTGACAAACACTGACTGAATAAAAAGCTGCAGTAACCCAGGGGAAAACTCATGAACTGAGAAATAAAAGCAAAATTATACCAAACCCTATTATCTGGAAGACTGTGTGCATGCCCAAGCCTGTGCTAGTTTAGGAGTGATCATAGAGTGAGCATCCAAGCCCCTACTCTCTAAGGCAATGCAGGCCAAAAATCAGCATCTGCTAAATCTGTGACTATAGCCTCCAAGTCACACAAACATCCAATAGTTAACAATGAGATAAAGGAGCTTAACAACAACTTTTGACCAGTAAATAGCTTATGCCAACCAGGAGCAATCTCTAGATAGTTAGAATAAATGACAAAACAAGAGAAAAGGAAACTGAACAGGTACATGAGAGGCTAAAAACTGCAGGGGATGTAAACCACGAATTAGTATAGACAAGTGTCTACACAAATAAGTAAATAACCAAGCAACAAAAAACACAACAACCTTCAAGGAGAGATCATTATCGAGAGTTGTTAAAATATCTTACTTAATGTATCCAATTTTCAACAGCAACAAAAAATTAGAGACACGCAAAGAAACAGAAAAGTATAACCCATGTGCAGGATAAAACAAAACAAATAACAACAACAACAACAAAATAAGGCATTAGAATTTCCAAGCAGGAGAAATTCAAAGAGATTCATACCCAGAAAAATCATAGTTAACACTGAAAGCCAAAGAAATCAATATTAGAAGAAAATTTGGTGGATTCACAAATATGTAGATATTTGGCTACATAGTCTTAAATAGTAAATGTGTAAAAAAATACAAGGGAAATTAGAAAACATTTTTGTCATTAATAAAAAGAAAAGCATGAGACACCAAAAGTTTTGGGAAAAAATATAACTAACTTCTATATTTAAAAAAGAAGAAAGACTTTAAATCAATAATCTAGAGAAATTAGAAAAAATAGAGCAAATTAAACCCAAAACAACCAGAAGGAAAGAAATAATAGGGATTAGAGTAAAAACAAATGAAGTACAAAATTAAAAAACAATAGAGAAACTCAACAAAACCAAAAATTTGTTCTTTAAAAAAATTTTTAAAATTCAAAATTTTAGCTGGAATGACCAATAGAGAAGATTAAAATTACTAAATTTTGAAGTGAAATAAAGTATGCAACTACCAACTTACAGAAGCAAAAAGAAATAAAAGGGAAAACTATGGAAAATATAAACAACAAACTATGTAATTCATGTGCCATGCAAAAATTCCTTAAAAAACCCAAATTACTAAAAATGACTCAAGAAGTAAAATAAAATATAAATAGACCTATACAAACTAAGATTGCATTATTAATTAAAAATTCCTCATAAAGAAAACTGCAGCCTAGAATTCTATCAAATATGCAAAGAATGATGCATGTAAGTCTTCAGCAAACATTTCCAAAAATTAGAATAGAACAGAACACTTCCTAACTTATTATATGAGGCTAGATTTACCCTGATATAAAACCAGGCAAAGACATCATACACACAAAAAACCTAAAAAATATGCCTTGCAAATATAGGCATAATATATCTCAACAAAATATTGGTAAACATATCTTTCAATATATTTAAAAAATCATGCACATAATCAAATGAAATTTATTCTAAGAATGCAAGGTTAATTTAACATTTGAAATTCTACTCATATAACATAAATGACATAAAAGAGAAAATATACAATCATTTTGATTGATGCAGAAAGACATTTGACCAACTCAAACAGCCTGTCCTAATATAAACACATAACCCAACAGAAAGAGAAGGAAATGTCTTCAATATGATAAAGGGCATCTACAAAAAACAACAGCTAACTTCACCCTTAATAGTGAAAAATTGAATTTGTTTTCTCTAAGATCAGGGAAAATAACAGAATATTCACTCTTGCCATTTCTATTTAACATTTTTTTTTCCTGGCCATTCTAGCCAAGATACTTATGCAAGAAAAACAAATAAAAGGCATCATTGTTAAGTAGATAACGAGGGATTATAGGTCTCCTCGGGACAAAATGGGTGCTATTGCCCCCATCTTGGTCCTGCTCCACCCTAATTCTCCATCCCTGGGGGAGGAAGGAATATCTCTGAATCTGCCAATCAGAACTTGGTGTGCCGGCTGCAAAAGAATACAGAGGACTCTCTATCCCACAGACCAAACAGCATGGGTACCACAAAGTCCAGAAAGTGACCTAGAATCCAGATGCATAGTTAAGGCTCAGGTCATGTGACTCTCGACTGCCCAATCCAATGGTTCCATGGTGACCTCTGAACTATGAGGGAGGTGCCTATCCAGACACCATAAATAAGACACAGACCATAGCCAATCTCTCTCTCTTTGTCCTTCCTTTTGATTGCCCTGCTGTGATGATGGGTCCAGTCATCAGCTGTGACGCATGTACCAAGCTTTGTTCACCTATATCTTGTTCATGCCCTACAATCCTATCTTTCTCTCCTCAATAAACCTCATTTTCATGCTTGCCTTACTTTGACATGTCTGATCATTCTTCATCCATAAGCACTCCAAGAACTGACATTTCAGACTAAAACCTGACATCATGATTGGAACGGAAGAAGGAAACTATCTCTATTTGCAAATGACATGATCTTCTATATAGAAAATCTAAGAAATCTAAGACCAGTGAGAAAAAATCAGTTCAGCATGATTGCAGGATAAAAGATCAATATACAAAAATCAACTGTATTTCTATACACTAGCAATAAAAAATCAGAAAAAAAATTAAATCAACCAGAGCATCAAAAAACCCATTATTATAAGTTTAACAGACAAAATGTAAGATCTGTACTTTGAAAACTACAGAACACTGTTTAAGAACATTAAAGAAGACCCAAGTAAATGGGAAAACATTCCATATTCAAGGGTCAGAATACTTAATATTGTTAAGATGATAGTAATCTCCAAATTTAATGTGATTTCCATCAAAATTCCAGCTGGCTTTTGTAGAAATTGAGAAGCTTATCCTAAAATTTTTATGAAAATTCAAACTACTCAGAATAGCCAACCATTTCTGAAAAAGTAAAAGAAAGTTGCAGTATAAAAACTTCATGATTTCAAAACTTACTATGAAGTTACAATAAGCAAGATGATGTGGTACTGGCATAAGAAAAGATTTTTAGATCAATGGAATAGCATTTAAAAACAACCCTTTCCTTTCATTTTGAGTCAATTTTCAACAGAACTGTCCAATTTATTGAGGAAAAAATAGTTGTCTTAAGCAAACGATGCTGAAACAACCATTATTGTATATTCACAGATAAACGAATGTATTTGGATGCCTGCCTCACACCATAGACAAAATTAACTCAACACAAATTTTAGGACTAAATGTAAATGCTAAAACTGTTAAAAAAATTCTTAGAAGAAAACATTGGAGTAAATTTTTTGACATTGGGTTACAAAAAGCCTTATTAGATATGACACCAAAATGACAAACAATAAATATACTGAAGTGGACTTCGTCAAAATTAAAAACATTTGTGCTGCAAATGATACCACTAAGAAAGTGCAAAGAAAAGTCACAAAATGAGAAAAACTTCTTGTAAATCATGTATCTTATATCCAGAGTAGTTACAGAACATGTACAACTAAATAATAAAAAAATATGATCTAGTTAAAAAGCAGACAAAGAATATGAATAGATATTTCTCCAAGATGCTGTACATATCACCAATAAGCACATACAAATATGCTCAATTTCATGAGTCAAGAGATAAATTCATATCAAAACTACAATGACATGTCACTTTATACCCACTAGGATGGCTATAATGGAAAACAGTCTAGCAGGCCCTCAAATGGTTAAACACAGAGTTACCATATTACCTAGCAATTCAATTTTTCATTATGTATTTAAGAGACATGAAAACATATCCACACAAAACCTGTACACAAATGTTTGTAGAAGCATAAATCATAATTGCCAAAGTGGAAATAATTCCAATATCTATCAGTTTTTGAATAAGTAAACAAAATGTTGTGTGTCCATATGCAATGAAATAGCAAGAAATGAAGTACTCTATGATATATGTTGAAATATGGATGAAATTTGAAAACATTTTCCTAAGAAGAAAGAAGTATCTAAAATAAGTCAAATACAAAAGGCCACATATTGCATGATTCCAGTTATCTGAAATGTCCAAAATAGGCAAATGCACAGAGACAAAAAGTAGATTAGTAGCTGCCTAGACCTGGGGGTGAAAAATGAGAGAGGGATGGGGAATGACTACTAATGTTCATAAGATTTTCTTTTAGGAGAGACAGCAGTACTCATAAATCAGATTACAGTGATGAGTGAACAACCCTGGAACTATACTGAAAATATTAAATTGTAACACTTTAATGGGTGAATTATATGCTATATGAGTCATATATCAATAAAAATATTAAAGTTGTAAAGAGGCACAGATGTGGTAAATAAAATATTGGATGGGCCACCCATGGACCAAAATAAATGCTGTATTCTGAGTTAAAGCCTGCTGCTAGATGCAGCTGTACAACTGAAGTACATCAACTCACTTGCCACTACAAAGCCTTCCACCAGACGCAGCTTACTTGTCACTTGCCACTCACTAATAGAGTTTTGATATGAGTCTGCAAGCAATTGGTTTATTATGTTCTCTGGGTAATCAAACCTTACTGCTATTGATAATCTACATTTTCAGCCACTCCCCAATGCTAGCATCACCGCCTCAGCTCCAACTCACATAATCAGGCATTGTGTTCTCATAAGGAGCCCAGGACCTAGATCCTTCACATGCGCATTTTACAGTAGGGTTTGGGCTTGTATGAGAATCTAATGCTGCCACTGATTTGACTGGAGGCAGAGCTCACGCAGTGATGCCAATGATGGGAAATGGCTGTAAATACAGAAATTTTGCTTGCTCAACTACTGCTCACCTCCTGCTGTGCAACCCAGTTCCTAATAGGCTGTGGCCTGGGGTTTGGGCACAGCCGCTATAAAGAGCTGCACATATTGACCTCCCTGTCGGTAGGTTGAGCTTGCTGAAAGCCACAAGCTGCAGTGTTGTGTTGGGGACCTGTGACCAGCTCTAATCCCTCAGGAGAAGAACTCCAATGCCCAGGTGGTGGGCAGAACCCTGGAACTTCCAGGTGAGTCCCTGTTCTGTGCCACAGCAGAGGCAGGTGGTGAATGAGTGTGGCGGGGCTGGGTTGGGTGAGCCTGCTATCAGACTCCACGTAATCCAGCAATGTAGCTGTTTCAGCAGGGGTCAAATGTATGCTTTCGACTTCTGAGGAGAACTGTGTGCGTGTGTGTGTGTGGGGGGAGACTGAAGTGGCCCCACCCAACCAGAAAGCCTGTTTGTGGAGAGAGGGCCATCTTCTGAGATCCACAGTCTGGCTGTCAGGCATGGATTTCGCTCTTACCTCATTTCTGTTCTCCTCCTTTGCAGTCTCCCTCCAATGTCTGCTAGCAGGCAGGAGCTCCAACAAGTGAACAAGTTAAGCTTCCTCACAATTGCTCTGAGCACTGGGAACTTCCCTGCCCAAGATCCCAGCCTGAGCTGAGAGTATAACCATCCTGTGTGGGGAGGGGACTCCTGTGTGGGGAGGGGACTCCTGTGTGGGGAGGGGACTCCACTAGTGTGCCACATCTGAGACCCACACTGTACTCTCCTCCCAGTTCTGCCCACACAGGCTCCCTCGCCTCCCCAAATTAGTTCATAATCTCCCCTCTGTTCCCCCTGAGCAACACAATCGAGTCCTTGGGGAATGGGATCTGTGGGTCTGTCCCTGGGTCCCCAAAGATCAATCCCTGACTATGCCAGGGTGAAATGTTCTAGTCCTGATATACCGATGGGGTGTTCAAGCAGGTTTGGTGCCCCTCCATTTTGGGGTGTGCCTTGCTCTGATGGAGCAGCTGGGCATGCAGCACCAGGGAACGCCAGTGAGCAGAGAGATCACAATCAAAGCAGCCCTTAGTCCACTGCAGGGCTTTATGAGGAAACAGTTTGAGCCCACTGTCTGTAGAAGCCTCTGTGTGGCTCAATTGTCTCTCTAGGCAGCCACAGGGGTGGGAGAGGAGTGGAGGAAAGAAGTCTGAATGGAGTAAAGCTAGCACTCTGGTCATTTCCATCTCCTCTCTGCAAGGCAACTTCCTGGGAATGTCCTGGCTTTGGAGTCACACAGATCCACTGGGACCCACAGGTCCCATGTGGCTCCTGCAGTCTGGGCCAGAGTTGGGAAACTTGGGAAACGTTTGCATGGGAATGAGCAAGCCAACAACTGGACAAAGGTGCAGAGTGGATAGAGAAGCTATATGATATCTGCCATCTCAGTTGCAATTTATGGTGATGGAAATAGCCTGAGATGGCTGGGAGCCTGGTACTTTGTCCGCAAGAAGCTCCTGGTTCTCTGGCAGCAGCAGCTTTGGGGTTCATGGGGCTACAAAATCTCTCCAGCAGCTCGAAAGCCTGCTGACTGCCAGAGTTGTGAGAGTGGCAGAAACAAACCACTGCACTTGGCTTTTTCTCTGGACTGCAAGCCTCAGGGGTTGGTCTTCACTGAAATCTTGATCTTGCTCCTCCTTGTTCTTCTCTGTAACTTTTTCCTGTGGAAACCCCACCCCCTGCCCCCAACGCAGGTTCTGGTACCCTACCCTCAGAATTACACCTGATCTGTGTTTATCTGTTTGTTCATTTCTTTCTCTTTCATGTAAAATCTTTCCTTCCTAGTGACACGCTCTGGGAGCTGGTGTCTCTGGTCAGCCATCTTCCTCCTTCACCTCCTGTATTTTTCAATGCTTTTTAAAAACATTTGATGTACTAAGAAACAAAAGACAGGTCTATATTTCCTGTATGCTATGTTTTTCCAAATTTTAATGTTTACTCTCATGCTAGAGCTTAATGCTTCTACCAGCATATTTGCTCAAGGATTCTGAAAATTTGCTTGATTTATAGTTTTGGTGTTATAGATATTTGAAGTAATTATCTATAATAATAATCAATTTTGACTGATCTCTAAATTAGATAATCTGTCAAGAGTTCATAAGGTGTGAATACTTTTATGTTTCAACTATGTAAAATAATTTTTATTATCCAACATCCATATTTTCAGGATTAAAGGGCAATCTAAAAAAATCTATGTAACACTTTTCTGCTCAATTGTATCTCTAAATGAATATTTAACACAAATATTGTTAAACAACACTTTTTCTGTGATATTCTAAGGGCAATTACCAAATATGTGTTTGTTCCTTAAAATAAACTGTTAAGATGCTGAGGATTATGCTAATACACACACACACACACACATATATACATACATATATTTATGTATCGCCATATATTTGAAAGACTAAAATTTATGTTTTGCATATATAAACCCATTTCATATTCTCTTTGTTGTTTTTACAGCTAAGGATTTAGTAAGTTAAAGTATATTTCCCACAGTATACTAAAATCAACTAAATGCTTTCTGTGAATTGTATAAAGGCCACATAAGCATCATGCAGGGAAATGGCATATTTAAGGTCCTGCATATTGGAAACACCGTTATATATCAATATATTAGCCAAAATGTAGTCTGATGTTTTACAAATGAGTTAAAATTTGTTTCCATTTATTAAAATTTTCCGTTTCAAATTTACTAAGAGTGGCAACATAGTGATCTATTGCCATTTGGTCAATACATACATATAGTCCAGTCTGAGAAAGGTGAATGAGGAAAAGCAAGGAGAAGGTATTGTCAATGGAAAAGAATCCAAACTTGGTAAAATGATTTAAAGTGATTTATTCTGAGATGAATGTGTGTTACCATGGCCAGAAGAGCCACACCCAAGAAGCTTGGAGCAATTGGTCCTCCAGCGGTTGGGTTACAGTTTGGATTTATACATGTTAGGGAGAAAGGGATTACACATAAAATCATAAATCAATACAGGGAAGGTATACATTGGTTTGTTCCAAAAATGCAGGACATCTCCAAGTGTGTGTTTGCAGGTTATAGGTGGGTTTAAAGATTCTTTAATTTGTAATTGGTTAAAGAAATGAAGCTTTTTCTAAAGGCTTAGAATGTTTTAAGATAAAGAAGACTTGAAGCTCTGACTTGAGGAGGGAGAAAGGGTAAGGGCAATATATGTAACCTTAACATTTGTACCCCCATAATATGCTAAAATAATAAAAAAAAGAAGCCTATTAATAAGAGACAATCCAGCTGACATTTACTGAAACTCAAGTGATCTGTTAAGTAAATTGATGGCCTGCAGGTGTGGACTAAGCTTTGTCTTGCATGGCCCTAGGCCTATTAATTATTTAGTATCTTATTGTTACAAAGAATAATTCCAAAGGGAGGGGGAATAACAGGCATGTATGACCTCCTTTGTGCACATGGCCAGCACTTTACCTTTAAGGTTTTGCAGGGATCCCCCTGGCCAAGAAGGGGTCCATTCAGTCAGCTGGGGAAATTAAGATTTTATTTTAATATAGAGCATGCTTATTAGATTGAATTTAAGAAACACAAATTTTCAAGAATACATAGGCAGATTAAACTTAAACAATCAGATCAGGAATACCACACTCTGTGATGTAGATTTTTATCCTAATATAATGGGAAGCCACTAAATGATTGTGAGCTGGGATATCCCACTATCAAATTCGACATTTAGAATAATTAGTATGACAGGAGGTTTAAGAATATCAAAAAAGAAATAAAAGTAGCAACTGAAATACTGATGAGAATATAGCAATAATCCAACAAAGAGATAAGGGTATTAATCACTGAGTGTCAATGGGATGGATAAGAGGGAATTTTTGACAGATTTTTAAGAGAGAAAATTAATATGACTTATGAATCATAGTAGTTTCATTGACTCTAAATTTTTACCAGACTGAAAATTAGACAAAGTAAAATAATCTAAGTGGAAGTGGAGGAAAAGATTTCTCAGTGGAATACATTGAATTTCAAGTGCAAACATCTAGCAGAATTTGGAAAAATAGTCTGAATTTCACTAAAGCAATCTGGGTTGGAAGGATCGAGCTATCAAAATAGGTAGTAGAAAAAGACATGTAAAGTAGATGTCATGAAGTAGTAGAAAATAATGGGTCAAGTAAATAAAATAAGGGAATTCAAAGTCCATGCGCTCGATAACCTACACATTGCCACCTCTCAGTCCCACCTTGTCAACATGTTAGTTGATAGAGCTTACTTCTTTGAAATTTTATCTTCATACGGCTTCTGTAACACATTATTTCTTTGCTTTCTTCTCTCTTATTTAGTTTTTCTTTCTAGATCTCCCTTTTCTCTCTGTGACCAAAAAAGTGCAAGGTTCTGTGCTCTAATCTCTTCTCTACTGAAGTTATTCACTCTCTCTACTGACACATGTCCTCTCAGTCTATTTACCATACAGCAGCCAGAGTGATAGCTTTAAACAACACTTTTAACAGTTATTCTTGAGAACCACAAGCAAACCACAAGAAGCAGATTGGGCCAAGGCCCCCTGGAGAACTATCCTGCACCCTCAGCAAACTTTCTGTTTTTATCCCAATTTCCCCTCACTCACAGTCTTCAGCCTCAGTGGGACTCTTGTTTTTTCCAGGCACATGATTCACACTGTCACTTCAGAGCCTTTGCAGTACTGTTTGCCCTGTCTAGAATGTGCTTCCTCTAGAAATTCACAGTCTATTTTGGAGGAAGCCTTCCCTGCATATAACCCCTAAATAGCATCCTTATGCCACCAGTCACTGACTAGTCACTTGCTTTACTTATTTTTTCTTCAATACAACTATCACTCATGAAATATTATTTTCTGTCTCAGCCAAGAATATGAGCAACCCAGAATAAGAAATGTTTCTGCTCTGTCTTCTGCAGATCTCTGGTACCTACAGCAGTACCTGACATTCATAGGTACTCAGTTGATATTTCTGGAGTGGCTAAATGAATAAATATAATGAAGGTCCAGCCATAGGGAGAAGAATAAGCAAAGGCAGTTGAAAAGTAGTCACTCAAGATAACAGGATGAATCAATCAGAGCTTATAGCTGCACAAAACACTTTAACTTGTTTAAGCAGGAAAAATAATTTATTTAAAGACATATAGTTGTTCAAAGGATTTCCTAAAAGGCCAAATTGTTAGACTCAGAATTAGAACTTGCATAA